CGTATTTTATACGTAACTAATAATAAATACATTGAAAAAAAAATTAACATGAATTATAATTACTAGTTGTTTTACTTCTGTACCTACTATAACTAATGTTTTCATATTCAATTAGTACTAAACTTAACATCAATATGGCAATATGACATAATTTAGTCTTCRAGTTTTAATGAATTCAATAAATTATGATCCATAAAAATCTATCAATTTTTAATTACAGTGCAATTTTTATAGACTTAAATCATATATGTTTAGCTTAAAGTCTTTTTTGCACAACATTGTATGGCATCAACCTTTATTATTTACTTTCGTGACTTATTAAGCAACTCATATTATAAGTGAGGGCTTATACAACAGTATTCTTACCATCGTATGGTAGGTAGTTATATAACCATGAGTATTGTATATGAATAGTCTAAAATATGATTAACACGGGCTTTAATAATACATTTTGCAATGTTATTACTCGTTGCTGTAGCCGAGTGTTTGACTTGTATCTATAAATACTTACTCATGTACCTATTTCATAAAAAGGTTTTTCAAACCAAAAAACACAACAGCAATATTTGTTTTAAAGTTATTTTTATATTTATAGTMTTAAATGTGTTTTATATAGTTATACACCGAATACTGAACATATTGCATACTCGTTCATACATAATATAATTATTATAAACACTTAATTAATGTATCGTTATGTGTACTTATTAGTTATTGTTATAACATAAATACTGAACTAAATAAAAAATATACTTTACAATAAAATGTCTCTTACACGTGATAGGAATCAAATGATTCGTATGATAATAATAATATAGATAGGTATAATAATAGTTAAATAATAATGAACATTAAAACATTTTATTACACTAATAAAAAACAGAAACATTCAAACACAACATAAATAAAATACATAATTGTTCGTATTATATCGCAAACGAAATAACATGATGGAATAGATAAATATTGAAAATACATCAATACCTATATTTTTTATTGTTATAAACGAACGCGTAAATAAGTTTTTTAGTAACCGATTAAATTTAACATCGAAAAGTAAAGTTCAACAAAATAATAACGCGAATAAAATAATAATATACTCTAAACAGAACGTCTAAAATGTTTTATCACAATACATTTTTAAGAATACATTATGCTTGTACGTATTATAATAATAATATAAATATTTTAACATAAAATACGTCTCAAATATTGAATTTAACGCGGAATGTTGAGTTATCTTAAATACTCGGGACAAATTTCTAAGAAGGTTATTTATTTAAAATTCACCACACCATAATATAACCGACGATTATTGAATAATGGATATAGTCCAACTAATATATATGCGATAATTTGTTATTGCGAATAGATACATGGGTACTTATCTCAGTGTACCTAAATTTTTTTGATACATTGAGACGTACTGACATATATTTGACTTTTCAATCTTAACTGTAACAATCAAAGCTATATAACCACAATATTAATAGTTAATATGTTAGTAAGTGTAATATTAATAGTTTATATTATTTTCAATAATATTTTATGTCTTACAAATTAACAAATAACAATTAACGCGTTCAAAAGTTTTTGATACCTTCATGATATGCAACAAAAACGATTAATCCATTTCACAGAGAATAGTAAGATACGTATGATTAAAAATAAAGTAGTTAGGTTGTATAACACACCACTGTATTTCGGTAAAATAATTATTACAATATTACAAATATTATTAAAATCCTATTGCTGATCGTAAGATAAAATATTCTAAATTGCAAGTATAACAACGCTCAGAATGTATAAATGAAAAACAATTAAATCGTTTTTGCGTGACCAGAACTGAAATTTCAGTGACTTGAGTCGACGAACTTTAATTATAATGCTTTATTCCTACCAAAAAACTTAACCATTTTGTTTTAATACAATCCTATTAAGATAAGCTAATAAAAAGTTTCGTTCTTAATTTTAATTTATTTAGTATTATAGCCAATTAGTCACGCGTAGTCTGTATTTTGCATATCAGTGGACTAGTGATAGTTATGAATTATATTGTTTTTTTTTTTCATTATGGTTTAAATAATAACAATCGGGATGTATTAATACAATATACTCCTATGGTGATAATTATTGTTTAACTTTGTTTCAAATCTTTTAGTTTAACAAAAAAAAACGATCGATAGTAAACCGATCATTCAAGCCTATGACATGTATGTACATTGTATTGCGAAAGTATTATATTTATTAATATATAATTCGTAGTCACTCATTTAGTCGTGTAACTGTGGCTTATAATGTTACGAAGTATTCAATYATATTATTTACACTTTAATAAAATGACCAAAAAATTAAAATTAACTAAGTACGTTACTCCGTTAGAAAAAAAAATATAATAATAATAACAACAGTAATAATAATAATACTATACTAGGTGTAGGTAATGAATAGTTATCATTGTTCACGTATTATACACGTATTATACACGAATATAATACTTGTTATGGATATTTTCGTAAACATATAAATATAGATTTTTTTACGTATAATTGTTATCTACGTAAAACGTATGACATTATAATTATTATGGCACATGTACGACACGGGCATAGTATGAAAAAAACAACACGTATTCGTAACAGCTAGGTAATACAAAAAGTCACTAATAAAAATAACGAGACACCCCAAGCATTTAAATAAGAGTAAAAAAATTGTTTAGGGGTATATTGTAAAACGATATCGACGTGTATTATTGTCATCTTATGAACTCGATACCGTAATAGCCCACTAATAAAAAAATCTATTTAAAAAATGACTCATAAAAAGTGTTTAATTTTTCTTCTATGGTTTACAGATGTACAGTACGACACAGCTATTAAATTTCACTGTTCGACGTTAAGTTGAAATATAAATAGTTTATGTAATAAGTAGTCATTTATTTCAGCTTGCACGTGGATTTAGATATTTTTATTAATGTGCTTTTCGTGGTAATATTATAGTATTAGAGTATTCGACAGTACGTCGCCGTCTAAACTAAATTTATTATGTACATTGTATAAAATATGTATTAACCGAACTGTAGAGGAAGAGATCATAAGCTAAAATTGAATATTAACAAATTATGTAACATCATAACAATTATATAGTACTAGAAAATTCACTATTTAAATAGTATATTATTTAAGACAGTGGTATACCTATATGAGGGAGTAGGGGTTTAACCCCCCCCCCCATTAAAAAATTCAGCGTACGCCATTGATTTAAGAAGAAGAGTCACTGTCCGAAGCAGCCTGCGGGGTTGGCGGTGGTTTTGCTTCTGGGGTGGCTCTTGGCATCGCAGTTGCAGCTAGATATGGGTTTTCTTCGATCTGTCCGTGTATATGTTCGATTTCCACCCTGTGAGAAATTGGTAATGATTAATGAATAATAATTATTATAATAAAAATCACTACACCTAATTTAATTAATTAATTATTCTTTTTTGTATCATTATTTATTTATTTATCGATGTAAATTACTGTAATTTGTTGTAAATGTTGTAATTAATTTACGCTTACCATTTATATATGTTATATTTTATATTAAATTATCAATAAGTTTGACGACCCTGTATGTCAGTAACACTTTATAATAAAAAAAATAAAATAAAATAATATTTGATTAGAATGTTCAAGACAAAGTAGGTACCTGCTTAACTAAGCAAACCTAAATGCTGTGCAATATACTTCCATCAGGAATTTAATAAACAATAAAATACAACGATAATAGTATTTTAGGCAGTTTACCAATTGCGCTTAAATTGTGCTCGGTTTTTTCTCGGTCAATAGATCAATAATTGCACTCGTTTCTAGGTTGATCGACCAATTGCGCTCAGTTATTTTCAGTATTTATAATATTATAATTAATATTACTGAATACTTTTATAAAATTGTATATTAATAAATAGRTTCTTTTTTTCAGATTCAATAAAAAAAATTATATAATTACATTAAAAATCGAAAAGATCGAAAATAATAGTTAAATTTATTTGTTAATTATAATCTACCTAATGATATATTTATATAAACAAATATAGTTAAAGTTTAATGAATCATGCACTATTTTGGTTGAAGGGATTTTGTTTGTTTGCATATTTTTATGTTTTACTACAGTTAAGAGAAACTGATTTAAAAATTAAGCTATTTTTCAGAGTTAACGTCAAAGTTTTAATTAAAACTAAACAGCTAACAAGATATTGATATATATGTTTTTTTGACCACACTTTTTGACTGTTAAATTTCTGTATAGGATGAATTATAAATAAATGATAATAACGTATATTCGTTCTTATAAAAGTATTTATGGTACATCATTGTGTTATTCCGTATATAACATATATAATAATATTAWAGTGTGTGGAACGTATCAATTAGGCGGATAAGTAGGTATCGATAATGAAAACTTGTTATCGTCAATCATTCAGGTTCATACTTAATTTATTCGTTGATAACAATGAAATAATGATGTTTCATAAAAATCTCAATATAATTATAGAATATTGGATGCAAATCAATAATAATTGTTGAGTTTTTCACAAATCGATATAGTAAATGGTATATAAGAAGCCTAAAATATAGCAGCGCWGTTAGCACACTGACCATAACATACAAATATTGTTTTGTCACAATTGGTCCATGCCCTTATTTAATGCTTAAAAAATTTACCTATATTCATGTCTGGCCATTAGTCTCAGATATTTTTCAGGTGGTGAATCTTTTTCGCTGTTTACAATTGATACCGACCTAACGGTGGTGTGTGACACCTGGGTTGTTGGCATTGTGAACTCCACATAACAGTATTTATCCAGCTCCTCAGGAACTTGATCGTACGACGTTAAGGTCATGCGGCATACGAGGTTGTGCGTAGTGTACGCTCCTGTAAAAAATAAAATAACCAAAATTAAGGGTCAGTAGGTGTAATCATTATATATAAGGTAATATTAACCCTGTCCTTCTTTTGGCAATCTCGGCATTCTCCATACTACAGCTCTGTGATGATGTTCATACTTGGCCTCACCAGATGTCACTTCAATCAAATGAGGTTCGAGATTGTCCATTGTACCAAGAAAACGGTCGATACCTTTYACTTTGCCCGTCCTTTTGGAATAATAAGTTAACAAACGATAGTCATTTAGTGCTTGAAATCTTTTTATTTTTGCAAGTACCTTCTATGTGCAGATTTCACTGATCCATATCTAAAATGCTTCTCTACTCTGAATAGATATATCCAACATTCCGGTATTGGAAATCTAATGGCAACGTCTTCACAAGGCACTTGTCCTAATTTCCTGCTCGTAAATCCTGGTACGAGTACATCTCCTTTTAATTCTACCTAAAATTATTAAATATATTTACATCGGAGTTATGCAAACAATAAAATTAAGTTATGTTCTTATAGCTTAAAATTAGGTACCTTATTTCCCGTTATGCACATTGTTGTTTTCAATTGTAAAGGAAGTTCACGGTTTTTGGGTGGTCTGACTCTAAACCTCATTAATTCGATGTAACAAGCGTCTGGAGGTTTAAACCTATTAATTTAAAACAATTAATAAAATATTTTAATTAATTTAACTTAAAATATTACTTTATAGTTCTTGTTCTCTCATATTCATCTTGTTGAACACAATTGTGGAACTCAACCCCTTCCAATCGAATCCATTCTTCAGTAACTACCGGAATTATGTCATGACGGCCGACTACTTCTTTTCCTTGTCGAACTAAATCATTTACACCCAACTCAACATCGGGCATTCCTGAAATATTATAGTTTAAAAATAGGAATTTAATGTAATTTCAAACTGAATATTTGTTCTAATAATACTCACCGCACATGAATGCTAGGAAGAATAAACGGACCCKAGCGATTTGTTTGAGTACTGATCCCTGTGAGTTTTGGTCAACAAATAGTTCATCAATTGCAGTTATTTGCACATCTTCTACTTTATAATTCAATGCTCTATCACGATGCGCAGATAGCTTAAATAAGGCTTCTTCTATACAAACACTAAACTGTTTCATGTCTTCAAAATTATGACTTCCCAATTTTAACAATGTCGTTGTCTATATACCAATTATATAGATAAGTATATACATAATTATAAGCTATTATAAAATAAATKAATATTGAAAGTTGTTGTTCATTACTTACTTGTGCTCCGTGTTCTACGGGCAATCCTAATTTTTTCAAATCACTACCAAATTCTTTTACACCTTGATAATCACCCTGAATAGCATAAGCTGCAAATTGGCTCAGTTTGTTGGTTAACCTTTCAGCTTTTGTTACTTGACCTGGTCTAAATCCTGCCTTTTCTTTATAGAATATATATAACAGTTTCACAGTGAATATTTTACCGTATTGATCATATTGTTGGGCCCCTAAAAATAATAAATATTTATCATTCATGATTATCGTTCATAAATACTTAATAGCTTCTTACCAATATCGGATACAGAATAACTCGGTTGTAATGGTAATTCTTGGAATGGATCTTTATCATCCTTAGTATTATACAATTGTAGGACAGGATTTTCTCCCTGGTATGTGATTTTAACAAATATTTTTTTCCAAAATCGGTGAGCTGTTATTTTTTTCTTGTTTGGTTGTCTTAATTCCATTGCCCAGCCATCACCATTGTAATTGACTCTTGGAAATTCTTCAAGAGGTTGAGAGACATCTTCATCAAACAAAGGACTTGGTGGTGTCTCTTGAGAATCAGTTCTTTGAGGTATAGGTTGAGGAGAGTATGTATCTAATGGAGTAAGTTAATATAAAATATATTTTAATATTATAAACGTTATAGTTSATATTTTTTTATTTTTTTTAATACCTTGGTTTTTATAATTCGTTTCATTCGGCTCTTGATCAAATGGATTAAATCTAGAAGGAGTTCCTTCTTGAAATAAACTTGTAGGTACTTTAGGTGGAGGAGCTATTGAAGGCACGGWAGATTGATCGGTGTTATCTGACTCTGTCTTAGGTCTAAAAACGAATAATTGTATAATTTAAGTTTAAACAATTGTATAYACATATATATTATTGYAGATTATAATAGTAAGTACCTAATAAAAACATTGAAATCATTTTCATCTAAAGATTCTCCGGAATTATTTCTTGTTACTTTAGCTGGTGTTGACTGTGGTGCAGCTGGAATTTGATGTGTTGATAAGAATGAATCAAAGTTATCATCGTTTCCAAAACCCATTGTTGAATCATCAAATGCTCCTCCCGATACACTTCCAAATGCGTCGAATGCTACTCCAGATACATTACTATCATTTTGAGAATCGTCAAATTTTGCAGCGAATGCATCAAATGCATCGTGGTCTTCACTCCCTGTTGATACCGGAAATGAGTCTGGCACTGTTGTAGTTATAATCGGTTCTATGTTGTCTGTTTGTTGTGGTTCTTGAACTTCGAATGGAGTACTCGCTATTTGCTCGGACACTTCAAATACTGCACTAAATGATGCTTCCTGAGAAGGTATTTCTTGGAAAGGCGATGGATCAGGCACTGGTGGTATTGGTTTTGTATCGTATGCATCTGTATCTAAATTCTCTCCCATTCCATCTCCATCAGTAAATGAAGGAAATGATTCAGATGTTGGTAAAGTTGTGTTTACATAAAACGCATTAAAAGACAAATTTTCCTTCTCTGTCAATTCTATCGGTGAAAGGTCTGTTGCTGATGGTGTCACTTTTGTACCATTCGATGGAGTGTCAATTTCAATGTGATCAGACGATTCTATTTGTTGTTGTTGCGAATCCAAATCTGATTCATCTTTTTCTTCATTCTTCTCAGTGTTTATTTCTTTAGATATTTCAGGGAAACTTTCTTCTTGTACATTTTGGTCAATATTTTTTTCAGTAGATACAAAATTAGTTTTTGGTGTATTTTGTAATATTTCATCATATGATTTGTCTTCGGGTTCATTTATTTCTTGAATTATGTTTTCAGATTTACTTTGTAAAAGTGACTGATCACTTTGGCTTGTTGGTTTTCTTGAAGGTAAGATTGGTGCAAAATTACCTATATCTGATTTCCTACGATCTGCTATTTTACTCAAATCGGGCATAATTTTTCTGGATTCTGTAACGTCGTGAGATAATCTTCTAACTGGTAGAATAAATTCATTTGAAGATTTCCTTGAAGATGGCTTCGATTCTACAGTTAATGGTGGGTTTTCTGAGATTGACGGGGTTCTATTTTTCACATCAAATTCTTCAGGCTGTAYGCCTTCGTGAATTGGGACATCTTCTAATAAATCATCCATAAGAAAATCAATTTTGGGTGGAAATTTTGGTCTTTCTGGTTTTGATCCTGATGGAAGTTCAATATTATTGGAATGATGATCAAAAACACTTGACATTTGAGAGTTAATCGGAGGTTGAAGATCCTCACATCCTAATAGATCAGCTGTTGGCGTAGGGCTTGGTGTTAATAAGTCTCGCATTGGAATGGGACTTGGAGTCTTTGCTAATCTATCTAATAAATGTAAMGAAGTCGCATCCATTTCTCCTGTTACACTGAGTATGAGTTCTTTGGCTTCATGTGAAGGCGGTGGTGGTGGTGTTGGTCTTGGTGGTGGTCGTTTTGGTGGAGCTGGTCTCGGTGGTGGAGGTTTCATTTTGGATGCATCTTCTAATACAGTAGTTTGGGGGGTTTCATTAATACCCAGCAGATCAACAACTGACTGAGCTGGTTCAGGATTTTGTGTGAACGCCAAAAAAGGATTTGTGTTGTCTGGAATAGCGTTTGATGAATCAAATGTTGAAAAAAAAGGATTATCATTATGAGACTCTTGATCTGTTGCTGTATTAGTTAAAAAAGGATTGAAAGTATTATTATTTTCGGTGAAGGTAGATGTTGGATCACCGATTAAAAATGGATTTGCCATCTTTATTTATGTATAAATTCAGATTCTAATAATTTTATTTCTGTTTGACTAGGCGCAGCGTCGTTAGCAAATGAAGTGTCAAACGGATCGATTTCTTCAGGAATGGCAATTTCTGGTTCAACAGGAGTATGAAGTATGTGAGGTATGAATTCTTCTTCAGTCAGTATATCTGTACACTTTGATTCAGTTTCTACCAATTCGCTTTCTAATAATTTTAACTCTACCTCTCCAGGTGCGTGTTGTACATATGATGTGTCAAATGGATCAATTTCGAAATTGTTGTCGTTTGGTTGGTCCTGTGGGTAATATGGAGTCAATGGTTTTGTTACATGCAGCTCACCGTGATRGTCGTCAGTTAACAAATCTTTTTCTAAGGCAAATGTTACTTTAGGTATACTAACTCTCTTCTCTTTTAGATTTAATTCAGCTGGTCGAACAATGTCTTCGGCTCTTGGATCAAAATCGTCGTCTTCTTCAATWATTATTTTTTTACAAAGTGTTTTAGAATCTTCTAATAATTCTTTTTCGAGTAATTTTAATTCTCCTTTTCCTGGTAATAAACTTTCTGCAATAGATGTATCAAATGGATCAATATGCGTAGTTTCTGATACTAGATTATGAGGTTCAATCGGATTATGTCCTATAACTGATAAATCTGTTGTACTTCCACCCAACAAATCTCTATGTTCAAGACTTAGCGGTCTAACGATTTCAAAAAATTCTTTTTCCGCTACTTTATCATTAGTTGGTTGGTTAGTTTTTTCACTTTCAATATTGAGATTGTTAACTGCAGGGACAAGATGGTCTGCAAAAGATGTATCAAATGGATCAACGTCCTCCGGTAAAGGAGATTTGGACAAAGATTCAGCAGCTAATGCAGCAAACTCGTCATCAATATCGTCATCAAGCTGTAATTGTGTGTTTGCAGTTTCAGATAAAATAAGCGGCGAATCAAATTCGTCGATAATTTGACTAATATCTTGTTCGGGAGTTTTTTTATTTTCTTTTTTAATYGGCTGTGGTTTCACCTCAATAGGAGTGACTATTGTTAACGGTAATGCGTCGGTTGGTAAATCTGGATCGTCATCGAGCAATGTTTTTACTGGTTTGTCATCAACAAGTTTTGCGATTGAACTGGTTTCGTCAAAACTTTCTAATAACAAATTTACAGGTTTAGGTCTTTTTCGGACAGCAGTTGACCTGAATACCTCGGGATTGATATCAACTTCCTTGCCGGAAAGAACTTCAACCGCACATCCAAGACTAATGTATCTTTTGTTCTTCTTAGAAGGATTAGGTTGGATTACTTTGTCTACTATTGATGTATCAAATGGATCAAATTCTGAGTTTTCTTCAGTTGGACTTTCTGGAATGTATGCAAGTTTTACTTCTCCACTTGTTATAACATCGACATATGAAGTGTCAAATATATCATTACCGTTATCTGATTCTTCTGATGAAGACTCTTCTTCAGCTGTTACACAAGCCGCTGCTTCTTCTGCTACTTTAGTAGCAGTTTGAGCCTCTGCTTCAGCTTTTAGGCGTTCTTCTTCTCTTAGTTTTGCCTTATGTTCCGCTTCAAGTTTCTCTTCGGCAGCTTTGAGTTCAGTCTGTGTAGGTTTTCTTTGAAAGAAACTGTTTGTCTTGATACGATCAAGATCTCCTTGTGTTTTTTTTAATACATCGTCAATTCCAGCTGTGATTGCTTTAAATTTCTGCCACTCTTCTTGGCCGTCTTTTTCACCTTCGGCTTCTTTTCCCTCTTGATGTTCTCGGCGATATTTTTCAAGTTCTTCTTCGTTGAAAAGTTCTTCTTCTTTATGTTTATTTTTCTTATTTTTCTTCTTTTTTTTTWGTCCCTTGTGTATTTTCAGCATGTTCTGTAAGTGATTGGTTGATGATTCTAAACAAAAATAAAAAAATATTTTAATAGCAGTTATTTATATAATTATCAAAATAATTCATTTTGTTATGTAAGGCAAGAATAAATTTTACTAAAAACGTATATATTATATTATATTATATTATATACATAAAAAATGCTTACTTTATACGCATAATGTTAAAATATGCTTAATAAGAATTTTTTATGATTTTACGTTTGTTACTAATCCGAATTTTCAACTAAACAATGACTACTAAATTTTGCATAAATATTGTTTTGAACTTGAGCATCGTTTTAAAACAATCTAGACATCTAAAATCGTTTATTTGTTTTTTTGTTTATTTCTAGTGTTTTCATTAATTATAGAAATAGAAGAGACTTATGTATAATATGTAATGTGTATTTAAAAATTAATTAATATTTGTTGTTTATATACATAAAAACTAGGTACCCGCTCAATCAATTTTGATAAATATTTTTGGTAAGGTTTTTAGAGGCATTAAAAAAGTATATAGAGATGTTTTGACCACATTAGAAGGTATATTAAATTACTAAGTGTTTTATCTAATCCACTGCAAGTGGATAATCATTATTCTTGTGGAGTTAGTTTACAAAGATATATACCCCGACGATGATTTGCAAGTGAGCTGAGGAATCTAAAGCTAAGATATACACCTATTGGCTATGCTATAGCACCATATTTTATAACGATAAATTATTATATTCGTATATAATGTTGATATATTTGTTAATTTGTTACTGGTAAAGTTAAGTTATTTATAGCTATTGACTTTTGTATATAATATAATAATATAGATTTGTGAATAAATTATTTATATATCGTTTTATGATTGAACTAAGATAATCACTATGACATAAAACATTTCAACCAAAAACGATATATTGAGTTATTATTATTTTTTGTTTTTAATATATATTTACACCAAGAAGAAAATAATGAATTTATTTAAGTTTTATATTATTTGAGTATATTCATTAAGTATTAATTTTTATTGAATGTTGTGTCTTATAATTTGTACCTACTACCTTGTATGTTTAAAAAAAACAGTATTGTACTTACATAATTGAATATGATAAACAACTAACTAAAATTTATATAATTATGTACCTGTATACACATGTGTCCTAAGTATTAAAATATAATTAAATATCATTGCTATCTTATGAGACTGTTCAATGTTTAATAATTTAATGTTTACAAAACCACATATGACACAGCTTTAATTTTATATTATTAGAGTCTTATATTTTCATTAGACATGAAATTGTGTGAATACAAATTAAAAGATAGTATGTACGTAGTAATACATTTATTTATTAAGGTATATATATATATATATATATATATATATACTCGTAATATTGGTACATGGGTTTAAAGTTGAAAGACAAAATCCGTTATGCCATAAATATTAATACTCTGTATTGAAGTTTTTTCACACTTTAGTGAGATAAGTCACATAAGCGAACAGTAATTATAGTGATATTTGTTTGAAATATAAATTGTATTCATTTTGTACCTCATATTTTATTAATTTTACCTAATAGGTATTATTCGACTTCTTAGSTATTTAAACTATATAAAATGACTCCGTAGAAATCATTCATGTTATCAGAAATTTCATCGTCCAATAATAATTGATTGATAAACATATTACGAATGATAACACTTACAGCTGTCGATACCTACTGTTGAAGAGAATGGTCACGGACTCAAGGTGCATTTAAAATTGTCTGATTATAATATTACATCCTATTATGTCGGATGTAGCATGCATGTAGACTGCAATAATCTATTGCATTAAGAATAATGACGTGAACACTGTCTGAATTAATAAATGATACTATTGTGCGTTATATATTTGGTGTAATATGCAAGCATAACGCATAATACTTTTGTTGCGTCAAAAATAATTGCTCAGAAATGGTGATAAATATTAATATATTACAAAGTGTCGTACCAAGCGTGATCGCAAAATAATCGCGCGTGTAATAGCAGGTAGCTATTGTTTAGGGCAGCTAGGTGTTTTCATGAAGCTTAAAAATATATTATGAYGAGACTATTATAAGGATCATCTGTTTGTTTGGGGCAAGCCGGCAAGTTTCGAGACCGACCGAGTTTCCAGAAGTTTTTTGCGGCATACGCTGCAAAATATAAGTTGCACGAATTATGCCACCACGTAACTACTAAAGTGTTATTCCCTCAGGTCCTGATGGCGAAGACATCCACCATCAACCCCTGCGAACCTTAGCGTTTATTTTAAACAATTTACTCGAACGTGATAAACGACATGACAATATAATAATTATTGTTGCGTGTGCTCGCGTGTTTATTGTTTACATACCATATAAAAAAAATCGATCGGCAACCGCTTAAGTTTTTAAACTACGATTTCCTCTTGTCCTGTGCCGGCAGTGGGGTGTATCACGATTCTATAGGTATCCGGTATGGAAAAAAGGGATCTTACGAACGCAGAAAAAACCTCCCAAGTATAATCTCACAAAACGTCACGTCGTTGCGGACGGATGTGCGGTTTACAATGATATATTATTATTATAGTATCGATCGTCCTTCGAACGCGCGACTAGCGGCACTGTCATCACACGTTAACCATGACGTATCTTTACGACATTATTATTATTATTATTATTATTATTATTATTATTATTATTATTATCACTATGGACAAGAGGCGACGCGATGCTGCTGCTGTCGCTGAAGTACTGTTTAGTTCACCAATTGACTGATCTCACGACGGGATCCCAAAATAGAATACATGGCGAATAGAAAAATAAAAAATCACCAACAGTAGGGATACGTCGTACAAAATGTATAATGTATATATAGATGTAGTTTGTGAGAAATGTACTGCACTTGGACCGTAGTCACCGGTCCAAACTCTAATAGACAATAACAACATGTTCGCAATATTATATGATAGATTATAAAACAATAATATTTGAATGGGCCTTACACTAAAATATTAGGAGAATATTATTATATATTATGATGCACTATTAAATCGAGATTACGGTAGTTGTTACTCAATATTCGCCGATTACATCTAATATGCAATAAAACGAACGTGCTCGATAATGTTTTCAGTGGTAATACTATATATAGTATAAAACCGACATGTATAATAAGGGCGTTCAAAAACGGCAAGTAGGTTGATTGAAAATAATTTTTAATTGCATTATTATAATTATCGCTCGGTATGGTAAAGGGGGGTAATGGTGGCGTGTGCTCGAAAGATAACGCGGATTTAACGACGACAGCTAAATCGGAGAAAACATTGTCTTGCTGGGCTATCATGACCAGACTGATAGGTAAATAAAAATTAAAACTGATAATTAAAAAAACTATTTACCACAGTCGTTGTCGGCTCTTTTTATTACTATGGAAAAAACAAAAGTATTACGATTAGTACCTACGAGAATTCAGCGAAATGAAATAGGAAAGAAAATTATATTTACCTTGTCCAACACAAAGTTTATYAGAAACAAAATAAAAAATATATATCTCGTGTGACCTGATGACGGTTACATCTATTCAAAATAGGTTTTATATTCAATTTGTACACAAATTGATAGTCATAAGATTTATTGTCGACTGTAGGACAATGGGATATTTTAATAAAAATATATCTGTAGAAGTAATATTGGATCAGTTAAGTTTACTGTAGTTGTAAAACACAAAACATTTGATTAAATACGTAAYATTATTTTACAATATTATTTAGTTCAATACCTATTGTGCGTTGCTTAATAAAGTATGTACTATATAAATAATAAACATTAGTGGTGCATTATATTATTATTTCTTAATTCTTTTATATAAATTTCAGACTATTATTATAGAATATACATTATGCACTATACAGTATATACTAAATTAATACAACCTATTCACAAAATTGCTACAATTTGTTCAAGTTAAAAGATCATCAATTTTAATTTGTGTATTGGATACTTTGTTGTATTTAAATATTATAATTTATACGACATACAATCATACAAAGTTAAGATAGATATTAGAGAATCTCATTTTATTGAAGAGTTTGAAAATTAAATGCAATCACATATAAGAAAAAAAATTCTAATATATAACATGTTCTTATAGTATCTTCATAAAGTCTAAAAATATTCATAAAAAAAATAGATTGTAAATGCCTACATTTAATGAATGATTGTAATTTTACTCGAAGTTATCTTTTGGAGTAGTTTCTGAAGAGGAGTGTGGAACATAGAAGAATGAAAGGACCCGTCGAAAAGTTTGATTTGGGATAAATCACTGCAAGATAGATGTATATAAATGACAGATAACTAATTAATGGCCAGTTAAAAATAACCGTGGACAAAAATATTAAGAGTGATAAAAAATTACTTTTGGACTTTAGTGAAATTCACTAGAACAGGAGTAAATAAGTTATTTTTTCGACTGGCTTCTAAACCTATTTGAATTAAATAAATTGAGATATTGTTTTATTTTTACACAGATGTGACCAATCGGTTGTATGTAGATGTAAATAATGATTTTCCAGGTACACATACACATGACGTATCGATGACGTGTGTTTTTTAATATTCACTGACAATTATTGACATATAAGATAAGAACAGAAATGACGTAATCAAACTAACTATCAATTAAAATTTGGACATTAAAACCAAAAGCAATTGTCACTTAAAATCATGGTGCGACTAGCCCTGTCCCTCGTTATAATAATTATGCTTAAGAAAAACTGCAAATGTATTGAATTATCCAAGTGAATATACAATATTATAAATTAATATTGTATTGTTATTCATAACATTACCAACATTGTAATACTTATGTATTAAAATTATATTTATTTAAAAACTTAAGAAAATGTTTAATAATATGTTGAAACTTTTTAAATTATAAATATCTAATAAAAGAAAATAACGAATAACGTTTGATTTGTCAATGTAGGCTCACTAAAGCTGTAACTTTTTAAAGTGCAGCAAATGTTTAAATGTATGTGTCTAATCTTTAAAAGTGGTGACAAAATAGTATTGTCTTGTGGTGCCGATGAAAGTTAGCATAGATAGATGATGATATACACGGAAGACAAATAATACGAAAAATTAGTTTAAAACTACGATACTATTAATATATTAGTACAAAAATGATAAATATTTCGACATTACGGATCCGATTTATAGTTTAATAGAAACCTCATTGATAATAAATTAATATCATATTATACATAGTAAATATTAAGTATTACCAGTAGGTAACAGATAGTAATCCGAATGGAGAATTTCAGAAAATTACCGATCTGATGGCCTGAACATCATCTCAAAATTTATTTTTTATTTTTCTGACAAATCGAGAAGTTCACATTTATCTATTCTCATTGATAAAAAACTAAAAAATGATTTTCTAAAGTACCTATTCTATTATGTTAGTAGACAGTGGCTATGTAGTAAGTTGGTAGGTATACACTGCTCTTGACGAATAATCGATTTCGTATACGATCGAAATAACAATAATAATACTATAATAGTTTAATACTCGTTATTAATGTTATATATGAGCTATCGATAACACTCACATACATTGATACACGATATGATCGTATTATTGTAGTAAATATATCGAATGTTTACGGCATACGACAATATTATATGAAACCAATTATACGTTTTTCTGGGCAATCGCTCACATCCAAAACATAGTCATCCGAAGAAACTTAACAATACGCATAATATAGTTCAAAATACAATTTTGGGCTCGTGAGTTTGTTCACGTTTTTATTCGTTTTAGTGGAGACTGACAATAATAAATTGTCATTTTAGTTAATATTCAACTATATACTTCACTCATACCGCCCACTCAACAAATATATACATATATAAACATAACATACAATCAAAGTTACTCAGAAACTCAGAACGATTGTCACGAATATTTACTCGAGTTTTAATCCGGACGATGTAATCAAATACAAAGTGAAGGTCGTGAGTGTGTGTGCGCGCGCGCGCCTCGTCGTCTCGTTGTATTATAATATTATGTGTATATATATATATACATATATGCAGGCCTTGCCCAGTGACCTATATACGGTCCGTATAGGCATAGACGGCGGCGTCCTTTCCACACTGTCTTTTTTTTACGCGTTTTCCACGCCTCGCAAACACATCAAACCTGACCAAATCCAAAGCCGGAAAATTGTTTTTATTTTCTCATCGATTGTACAGCCATCCCAGAAAAGCCGACAATAGTCGAATATATGCAACGAATGAAGAGTATGTAATAATAATAATAATAATGATAGCAATAATATAATAAAACAAATCCAAACTACTTTATACATATATAAATATCATCTACTCTGTACGGTTCTTACTTGTGCCGTGGCATTTGCGGTGAACTGAACTCGGCCTAACGACATCGGGTCTTGAAGTGGGTAACAAAAATAATAACCCCAAAAACGATGCCGAAACTCAAAAACGGCGCTTCGTCGGGGTTGACGACGGTGTCGTCGAGATTTGCGGTAACCGTGAGACCCAACGACTACGGTGATGACGCCTTACGACGATAAGAGACTCGCGGAAGACGGCCGTCGGTGAACACCTCTACATGAAATAAGAACCGTAGCGCGCGACGGTTGTCGAGCACGGACGACGGCGACGAGCTTGGACGAGGGAACACCGTGAATTTTATCGCGTGCACTGCCCGGTTTTCCCGACGACGGCGGCCGCGGTCGATTTTTCCGCTCAGACTATATTATAGCGACTTGGGCGGCGGCCGCTACGGGGCGCCTCCCGCGACCGAGTACCGCACCTCTTCTCACTACTCATCCACCGTGCCTCTCGTATCCCACCGACTTCCAACCACATAGCCATCATCACCATAGCCGGACACGGGTGGTGGGGGGAGGGGGATGGGGGGCATATCGATTGTCCTACCCCGAAGAGAAGTGACGTGACGCAAGAGTAAAATATCTATGTTTGGTGTGTGGGTATATTGATTTTCGAGCAGGTTTTCCGAGCATTKTAGTGCGTGCGTGCGTGATGTTACGCACTACAAACGTCGAGTCCGTTTCGGAAAACATTTTTTCCAAAACCGAGGGTCGACGGTTGTTTATCCTTGTGTAATGACCACGGTGTATAATTACGCGTATTACGTGTACAGTCATTGAACAGACCCCGAAACGCACGTCATATTATATTATTATAATATTATTCATTTGAGTCATATATCCCTTGTCAGACAGTGCGACGCTAATATGTAACGCGTACAATTAACATGCGATTAAATGGCATTGTTGCCACGAAACGTTTTGGACAAATTTTTTTGAATTTGTCTCGAAGCCATAGTAATCCTGGACTATAACGTTGCTTATGTTATTATAATATTCACGTAAAACAATTTTGTCTGCCGGGTTGGCTACGTTATTGATCGCAAATGAGCTTGAACTGTACCACGACCACATCCGTTGAGATTTAATTTGAAAGTATCTATTATTGGTAATGATTAAGTGATTAATTCACCACTCGCTGTCCACTGATCTATGTTATTTCTCGGGGTTGTGAACACTATATGATAATTATTYATCACGGCGAATGACGAACACTAGACTTTAACTTCGAAATCTAAGTCACGTAATAATCGTATCGCAAATGATAATATAATTGTTGATAAAGTAGTTGGTACACTAATTTAAGATTTTACTTCACGAGTTAACATGTTGAACTTACATGAAATCATTGAGAATTACCGACATCATATCTGAAATGGCCGACAGCTTTTTTACTTGCTTAAAATTTATAAAACCGTCTTTCCCAAAAAATGAATTTAATCAGAATTGATGTTTCTAAATATATGTGTTATTTATTGCTAAAACTAAAACTAACTATAAACTTACTATAAAACTGATTTAACTTTACATCGTTAGCAAAAAATATTATGAAACATTAGGAATCAAGTAAAAATAAACATTTAAGTGAAATCTGTTGGTGTATAATAAAATATTATATTTTATATTAGCATAGGTATATAAATAAACTGTTGATAAATATATTTTATTTAATGGGATTACTAAATTGGTAATTGTTAATTATTTTACACATAAATGGTCGTTATTACACCATATCCATAGTTATCAATACAAATGGAAAATATAGGCATTAAATARTTTATGGTATATGCCAATGTCAGACCTAACAAACCTAAAAATCTTGACATAAAAATATGTTTAGACATATTTATGTGTCTTAAAGGGTCAGTATATATAATTCCGATTGAAATAATAAATYATATATATTATTGAATAATATTTTTAATGCCAATAAGCACAAAACATAATATTATTATGACCAGCATAAAGATTTATTTTTTTTTTTAATTCATCAGTTATCAGTTATCAGTCTGTTAAAAAATTTAACGATTTGAAAAGTGAAAACCAGTACGTTAAATTATTATAGTAGGTATGTATCTACCTACTACATATACATTAATTGATTAATTCAAATTAATTAATATAATAAACATGTTTTATAGCAACAAAATAATTTGTAAATATATTAATAAAAWTTTTAAAACTTGTGTTGTATTAACAGTTTTATTTCTACTATTAATTATTTTGTATTTGAATAGAAAATACAAATTACAATATTATTATAGCTTATAAGTGTATGATAGTTATTAATAACTAATAAGCATAGTATGCCATTGTTAGTAATAAAAGTCTTATCATGTTATTTTAAAACAGTAGATACATTTAACCTAAACTGAATGTTATTATTCAAATAATTAATTTTTTTTAAACTCTAAAATACCTGTTGACAATGAATTTGAAAATATTTAAAATTAACCCCTCTCTGGTTATAAATAACATGATATTTATTTTATTATGAATCAATTGACAAATATTTAAGTATAAAATGACGAAGTTTTTTTGTTAAATAAATTAACACAATATTGGTTTATATAGTGTAATTTTAAAATAACAAATTATGTTTATGGTGATTTGAAATTCCAAAGGTTCTATATTTATTTAAATGAAGTATTTAAATAATGAGTAATATATGAGATGTTGATATTATAAGGTTTTTCATAAAACGAAAATATTAATAATATGTAATCAAGCAATGGATAAAAAAGTAGATAAATGGGTGACGCTCTGCTGTAAAGCAGGTTATAAATAGGCTGTAATGGATGGTGTTAAATTTTAATTCAATGGTAGGTAATATCATCATATAAGAAAAACGATTTTGAGCGGACAAGGTTTAACGGCATAGGATCAAGGCTGGGCAAGTTAACTAATTATTTTAACTCGTTAAGTTAAGTTAATACAAAAAATGTAAGTTAAGTTTAAAGTTAAAAGTTAGTTTTCTTATTTATTTAACTCGTTAAAAGTTAAAAGTTAATTTGAAAAAAAAGTAACTTAACTTAGTAAAAAATAAGTTAACACAATATAATGGAAGTCTAACTATTTTCAATAAACATATGTAATTTTATTAATTACAGTAGGTACTTAGTAAGTACTACTTACATACTTCAATAAGCAGGAATAAAATAAAATATTATTATCTAATACTATTATTATTACTCGTAAATCGTTTCCCAAATTTTATATAGGTAGATAGTTGTACTTATACACGTTATTCTAATATCTATTGAAATTTCAAATATAGAAATAATGCAAAACACTCCCATTCATATCGTAAAGTATTTGGTTATTCCCACAATTATTATTTTTATATATATAATATCAATAAGTTATAAAAATCAAAATATAATTTTAAATATATGAAATTTATATTAGGACAAATTAATAAATTAACTCGTTAAGCTGGAAGTTACTTTTGAAAATAAAAGTAACTCGTTAAATAACTTAGTTAAAAGTAACTTAACTTTTTAACTTAACTTTAACTTTTTAACTCGTTAATGCCCAGCCTTGCATAGGATATTTACGTATTATAATATAATATTATATTACGTATTATACGTGTTATCAAATATTAATATACGTAGGCAGTAGTTTAAATAAATATTATTTGCATATTATCATATTTTAAAGTTTCAATTACCAAGAATAATATTTTTAAATTACAACAATTCAACTAACATCGTTATTTTTGGTTATTTAATAATCGTCCAAATTTGGATATACAATACAAAAAATACTGTGTTTAGTATAATTTTWAAATTTTTTGGTTACAGAATTTTCTACTTGCGTAGAATTTTATTTTGGATTTAATTTTTTTTTAAAGATAGACAAACTTATGAGGTATCTTTTTAAAGGTAAAATTTTAATAAATTTACTAATTCAAAATAATTTGCTTATTTTGTAACTTGTATTAGTTATAATCGAACATGCGTAAAACATTGTATGTTTTTTTATTCTAGTGGTTTTTTATAAGTAATATACAATCTTTATCATTTGACACAAGAAGAATATCGACTATAAGTAACAAATATTGATATTATTTTGATAAAAAGAACCACCCATTGATGATAATTTCGATAAATTTGTGTGATCTTTTAAAATTGTGAGATTTAAAAATAAAATCGTAAATGTTTTTGCGAATGTGACTCTTTTACTCCAATAAGACAAGAAAATTAATAATTTAATAATGACCTCGATAATACTAAATAGTTTATTAAATCTAAGTAAATATTATGTAACAGTATAGATAACCCGTTGATCGATAAACATAAAGAAAAAATACGTTCTATGAAATTAAGAATAAATATCATATAGTAATACTATATAGTATTATATAATAAATTATTAATATTTTGATATTAATTACTTGACGATTTATATTTGGTAACAATTAATCTGTTGTTCATTCACTCCCAAAAAATCACATCTTTTAATTTTAAAAAAATGTACCTAAACTTTAGAATATTCTGTATGTATGCAATAACTGTGCAATAGAATATAAAAAATTGGATCTCTGCAAATTAGAACTGACAAAAAATTATAGTTATAATAATCTTATTAAATGATCCATAAATAAGAAAATAAAAAGCTCTAAAAATGAATAATTTGATAATAACAATTAAAATATGTACATAAAAAAGACACGTAAGTATACAAGAATTAGATGATAAATAGTGTGTATAACCCTTATTAACCCATACATTATTTTAATGAAACACTTAAATCATATTATACATTGCAATATTTGATTATTATTATATTATTGATAAATGTATAATGRAGTAATGTATTTACGTATCTCGAGAACTGATAAGAAYTTGCTTAATATAAAAAAAATTTTAGTACAAATAAAATACATTTTTTTCCTGTTTCGGTATTTGGTTATTCATTAAAAACAATATTAATTGTTTAATGTTAGAAATTTAGTGTTTTACGTTGAACAACGAAAATACGTAACTATTTGTAACRAAGTGTCTATTTTGATTTGACGAGCGTGACGATTAGGGACTAAGGTGCCTAAAATATGTCTCTCGCACTTCGCATTTATTTGCGTATTAAGATGAGTGTTATATTTATGTAGGCAAATTCACATTACAATAACTTGATACTCTACTGAAACTAAATTGTAATTGAACGTAAAACTAAAAAAACAAGAACGAATTAGATGAWAAGACTTATTAGAATTTTTTTAGGATTTAGATACCGATAACTATATCAATTATACTATATTTATGATCAATTAGAAAATAATTATAAACAATTACATAATTGTTGAATGTAGCTTGA